TTATTTTGTCGTGTATATTATTTGTAGGAAAAAAAATTTAGTTCAATAAAAATAACTATCATAAAAAATAGAGGTTGATCGTAGAGGGGTGACAATTAAGGGTTGTATGTATTTTTGTATTTTGTATCATAAAAAAATAAAAACAAAGAGTTTTGTTAAAAATAAAAAAATTGGGGTAGGACCACCCTTAACATTTGATGAAAAATACTGAATATGCATAAAAACATTCATAAGAATCGGTCGAGCCGTTTCGGAGGAGTATGGGAACGAACATTGTGACACGAGAATTTATTATACATATTAGATTCATGTTCACTTTATGTGCGCTATTGAGATCTGTGAAGAAAAATCAACAATGTGTCAGGCACAGCGGCATAAAGAATAGTGAAAAATGGGTGAAGGTGAATTTTTTGTAATTTATTAAAATTCATTACTTGGAATAAAATGCGCAATTTTTAAACAAATAGCAACAAAAGACGTGCAGTGCAACCTTATAAAAAGGTTTTTGCCTTTCCTTACAATTTTTGTAGTCTGCTACAGCGATGCATGTAAGTTCCTTTGAGTTCCAAATACGCCAACGCAGCGCAGTTTTCCTAACCAAATATTATCGTTGCGTAGCTATTCAGATTAACATACTGTTTGTCTTAAAACTGAGAAGGCAAATCAATCGGTAATTTACCTTTAAAGCGACAATGGTTGCTTCTCCGTTAGCACTGAAGGCATAAGGTCCGTAGTGAAGACAACTGACGTAGTCATATTCAATACCCAAGTTGCTTATCAAATCCGACTCATATATGTCAAAGTTATGTTCTGTTCCTGTAATTGGAGAGGAATTAATCAACTAAATTAGTAATTACTTTAAACGCAGAGGCTTAGACGTAAAAGCTAACAACAAAGCATGCATTTGAAACTAACTACAGTAAACCCTCTTATAACACGGTTCCCTTATAACGCATTTAGATATTACGCGATTTCCGTCCCTCGTATAACACGGGTATTCCTATATAACGCGGGTATAATAATAACAAAGTTTTTTCTAAATATTCAATTTAAATCCCCTTTAACGAGAAGAGTTAAACGTGAATCATTTGTACACGACGCGTTATATGAGGTCATACAAGCGCGTTATGCGAGAATACTCCTACAACGCGAAACCAATCTCCCGTGTTATAATAGGATGGTATCTAGATAATCTTCATGAGTAATTCTTTCTGGTCGTTGTTTAATATCCTTTTAAAAGTTCAAACCATCTATGGTATTTACGCGACAAATGACGCTTAATAGACAATTTACCATTACGATAATATAATAAACAGGGAACTTAGAAATTCACTAACCTGACATAAGATTCTTTGTCACTATGTTTACATAATTGTCTCTATTATACGTGGACTGCATGTGTAGGAAGCCCAGTATGTGCATCCATTCGTGGACTATGGTGGCATGACGGAAGCAGCCGGCTCCAGGGATGTTCCTAGCCAGGTTCATGGTGTGTTCACCCCTGGGCTTCCAGTAGCCAACGTGGGCGTAGCATCCGCCAGAACCACCCTAAAACATACAATATTTACACTTTACTTTAAAATTTTAGTTGACTTCTTCGCCTATGATTTTATATCATGGTAAAGAGGAAGATTTGTATGTATGTTTGTAACGAATTGGCTCAAAAAGTACTGGACCGATTTTAAAAATTCTTTCACCATTCGAATGCTACATGATCACTGATAGGCTATTTTAACTGCAATAAAAAAAATAAGGATTCCTACTAAAACTACAATAATGTTACCCAAGGTGTAAAAAAAATCCTATAAAATATCTTTCATCGCATGCGCTGCGAAAACTATTGATGATAGAACATATTAATATCATGTGTCTAGCTATTGTAGTTATGTCACTATAACTACTCTTAAACATTTTAAAAATTAATAGAAATTCCGAGCAAAATCAGACTAAGTTATACCTTTGCCTTAATTCCTACCTACATAAATGTATGTATGTTCTGCATTTACTGTTAGTATATGCCAAAATGTTTAAAAAACAAAATATGTCCACCCGTGCGAGGCCGGGATTGGCCGCTCGCTAGTTATAAATCTTTGTGGGGTATTTGTGGAAACTCCTCTAAACGAGGCCAATTTTGATGAAATTTTTGTGTGTTAAGGATTGGGAATCGTTAGATTCCAAATCAGCCCGACAGATGCCTGGCAGCCGTACTTTCATACTTTGTTTAATACTTAATCGGTTGAAAACTGCAGGACAACGTCTTCAGGGTCACGACGGCAGGAAGTTTCGAGCCGCAAACTGACCGTAAGTTTAACATAAACCGTGTCTTCTGGTTCACGACGGCGGAATTTCACGCACGTGTGGTTCTGAATGTCTTCAATTGCGTCTTCAATCGCAGCCTGCTGTATGGAACCTATGCAAATTACCTTCTATTAATAATGCATTGGTCTTACACAAAGTACTTGTTGATAAAACATGATTAATACCATTGCTGTAAAGTCAGGGTAATTCAAAATCTAAAATTTTCAATTTTATTTTTTACTAAGCACGTTTTAATCGATATTTTTATACGTTTGCACTGTATACTAATGCCACTTTTTATGTTTCGCTTTTTACCGGCGTTGACACGTTCATTTGAACATATCTTCAGCTGTAGCCAACTGCAGCAGTGATTTTCACGGTCCTTAGGACCTTGTTGCACAGTTTTTAAAGGTTTTAAAAAAGACGATTTTTGGTTCATCCACTTATTACGCTATAAACGCAACTACCGCTGATTTTACTCGTAATAGTCGTCACCGAGCGTGACGTGCTATCGCAGGAATGCGCGATTTAAATCGGAAGTTTGGAAGAAGTACTTATTTTATGTGTAAAATTAACGGATATTATTATAGTTCTATGGTACTTTTTATGATATAGTATCAACAAGTTTCGACCCTATCGGATTGGTAAACTTGTGTGTTCAATATATAATTTAGTTTTGATGAGCTATTGCTAATGATTGAATTTCTAGAATTTTTTAAATTTAATAACAATTATCCATTAAAGTAACCTCGATATAATATCGGTTTTTACCTTTATTAATTGAGATAATCTTATCAACGATGACTTTTGGGTCTCGTGTATTTAATATAATGTGGTAATTTGTAATTAGTAATATTTTCTATGTTTTGTATAATTAAGATAAGATTTAATTATCAAGCGTTGGTTGTCGCTAATTTTACAAAACAACTTTTTTTTATCAATAACATCAGACTTCGGCTTCACTCTTATGTGAGAAACAAACCTTAGCTTAATGTTATACTATTAATTTAACCTTTAGTGAGGTAGGAAATTAATACTACTTAAAAAATATAAAAAGATATCCCAAAATACCAAATTCGCCTTCACCAAACTCCCAAACCACGGTGTTGTCGGGCCATTTTGTGTCGGGCCAGGTGTAGGCATTACGACCAGTGGCGTAGCTTTCCAACATGGCTTCTATCATGTAATCATCCAGAATTATGTCTCCCTGGTATTTGCCACTGTTCTCCTCTGGATTCGCAAGGGGGGAGATTTTGTTGAGTACCAGGAGGCCATCGCCATCGCCTATAAAAACATCACATGAAATATTCATACATTTTATTATTTGCCTTTGCAGTTGCTGTCTCCAACCATTTAACTAGACCAGAAAAGGGAGTCCCTACTTAAGTGAACTAATCTTAATTAAACATTTCAATTTAGTGATTTTTGATTTTGTTTAAAATCATCATCGTCATTAGACAAATCATCCTAACTTTAGAGGATTCTTGGATACAATCCTGCGCATACGGGCTGCTTTGCTGTGTGACTGACCAGGACGATATAAAAATAGGTTCGCCTCCACAAAATATAAATACCACTTACTAGTTTTTGACGCTTCAAGAAATCGCCTATATTCTTGAATTTCCTCCCTCGTTCGCACGACAGGGGGAGACGCTGTCGCCACTGCTAGAATGAACAATATCACACCAGCCCGCCACATTGTTATAATATAATATAATCTAATTACACTCACTTTTATATCAATCAAGTATTATCAATGATTAACAATACTCAAGATAAAGAATAGGCGATCTTGGGAAAGACTTGATCATTGCTAACTTCGTGATATGAGTTTGCTAGCTGGGGTTAGCCTTGGCCTGCTCTATGAACACTTGAACTGTTCGGGTAGAGCTTTCGGCGTCATATTTTATTATCACTTGGCACACAACTGCCAATAAATAAATAGGTATAGGTATTCTGTAATTTTCAAAGTTGGTAGTAATTAGTTAATAAATTTATTAATTAAAGATTAAAGCTGGTGTAATCAAAGCGTGCTGTAACTTTTTGTATTATATTTAAATATCGCTTAAAGCATCTTGTGCTTCGCTTGGGTGAGGTTGCCAATTGCGTGCCAAATCAAATTGACACCTAAATCATTTCAATTTCCATCCCACCAAGCCAATTTTCTATATATTTTTTAGCAATTCAAAGTTACGTTGGCAGTGAAAGAATCAGTGTACCTGAATGTGTATAATATAATGGAATGCAGAATTTAGAAAAAAATAGAAGGCACCGGAAAGAAAAAAGAGCATCTTCAAAAAGAAAGCAGAAACCATCAAAAACATAACTTGTTAACCAAGTCGGGTAATTAATTCCATCCCTACAGGGACCTTCTGTCTCAAGTTATTACGAAATAAGCTAACCTAATCATCTTATGTTTTAAATAAATATATTGACTTGGCAATCGCACTAAATTAATAAACATGTATTACTTGTGAGATACATTATGTTTTCATGCGATGGAAATGGAAAATCATGAGAGATTTTTAATATTGATTTGGTCACTATAAAATGTTGTTTGGTTAAATTTTACCCGGGAACGTAATAATTCCAATACACAAGGGGTTCAAGGGGTACAAAGCTTTAATTATAAAAAAAACAATAATTCTAAATCTGAAATTATTTATTTAGCGTAGTGTAAATCGTATGAACGTAATTGGTTTTTATGCCAATTCTTCTTGGGCTACCTCTTCTTGGACCTTATCGTCCTGTTGTGGTGGAGCCATTAGATGTTTTGTCCTCTCAACTTCCTCTTTCATGTGATCTACGTACTCTGCGCTCCAGGCTCCAGGACAGTTGTAATGTCTGGACAGTCTCACCCAATCATAATGGGTCACGAACTCCATCTGGCCCATGACGCCGTTGTGTTGCTGAAATGTCAGATCATTGGGATAGATTTATGTGTAATAATATATTTATACATGCCATGTAGTATTTTCTTTTATTTGCTTTTTATCGATGTTCTATGTACATATTCATTCAGATACAACAAGTTGATAATCATTATTGATTCAATTAACAATAATTAAATCAATCATTAAAAACGGATGTGACCATAAAATAAACATTAAGGAATCATAAAAATTATTAAGACTTAGTGAATTAAGATGTTGAAAAATTCTTTTATTTAATCACATAATTATTAATAAGTATAGAAATAACGCCATCTATGTTTAGCATTAGCTGACTTAACACCTAAAATGCTAAACATAGTCTTGTCAAAGTCAAGAAGTCAAAAATCATTTATTCATATAGGTAACACAATGTATACTTATGAACGTCAAAAAAGCTAATACTACATGTTGATTTATTAATCTTTAATTAATTAAATCTTAAACTTACTATAAACAAGATGATAAAATAAATGAAGATTCTTTATTAAATGTTATGTCTATGGATGGCTATTAAGTGTATAATTTGCGTTGTTTGCGAATGCATTGTACAATCTCTGAAACTTTTCACAATAAATCAGACGAAAAGTTTTTACTTATTTAGTTAGATTAAGTGCAGTTTAATTCAACTTACCCTTGTTGCAGTTATAGTCGGTTGACGGTTGATGCTGAACGCATGGGAACTGTAATGCATACTGCTCATGTGCTCGTATGGGAGACCAAGGTTGGACACCATGTTCTGGTTGTACCTCTCGAAATTGTGTTCCATACCTAAACACATTTAAGCTTGTTTAATTGTTTAATTTAATTAATAATCTACCTTCTTCAGTGTTAAATCAACAGTTCAGTGTTTAATCAGACAAAGTTCTTTTTATTTACTAAAAGTGTATTTATGAAGATTCCGGCCTCGAGTATAGAAAAATAGATTTATTACTGGCCCCCTTCTCCCCAAACACGAATGAGTGCATTGCTGGCTGCTCGAACGTCTACAGAATTTCTGCATATGGTTACCTGTTGCTTCTTTATTAAAAAGAATTAAATTCTAATACCTACTTCTCTTACTTGAAAAATTACGAATTTATGAGTTAGTGGTATATCTACGTTGGAAGCTGGAAATTCCCTGCCGCCTCACATTTCTTCTAAATGAAATTAAAAAAAAGGGTGCGTGTACTTATATACGCGCGTAAGAAGATACTTATTTGGCATTATTAAAAATAGTTTTTGATTGCATGCAAATAATTAATTACAATTAAATAATCAAAGACTTGGAAAGGAGTCACTATAGTCAATAAAGTTCAGTTTACATTTGAAAAATTAAATAAATAAATACTTATTATTATTCTCTTACATTAAGTGTAACATAAATTCTATTATTATTCGAATGTTGTTTTAAAATTATGTCCAATGCCGTAGCATCTTCCGTGGGCAACTTCATTCTGTTAATTTTGTGTCACGATGCGCGCGCATCGTAAAATTTCACTCTCATCAATTTTTCATAACGCGCCTAAAGAAGTATAACTTCAATAAATAGCTATTTTGGACCGTTTCGGACTATTAGTAAGTTACAAAACTGTACAAAACCCACTTACCGCGCTGCATATTCTGCCAATGAATTGCTACGTAATTGTATCTGTTGTAGGTGGATTGCATGTGGAAGAAGCCTAAGGTGTGAAGGAATTCGTGGATAATGACGACAATATGAAGACAGCCGGTTCCAGGATTGGAACGCGCCAGGTTCAAAGTATGGATGCCTCTGTCATGCCACCAACCGACGCTGGCATAGCACCCGTTATTGTCACCCTGTGAGATTAAACTGTACTTGAAGATGTAATAAAATAAATAAATGAGTGGCGCTACAGCCTTTTTAACAAGTGTGACCAGCCTCCTGTGCCTGACACACGCCGTCGACGTTCTGGGTCTAAGGCAAGCCGTTTTTCTCACAAAGTTTTCCTTCACCGTTCAAGCGAATGTTAAATGAGCGCATAGAAAGTAAGTCCGTTGGTGCACAGCTGGCGATCGACCCTACGACCTGAGAGATGAAGGTCGCACATCGAAGCCACTAGGCTAACACTGCTCTGATGCGGTAACAAAGGCAGAATAAAACTTACTTAATTGAAATTTTTTTGTAACCTTTAAAAGTAGTTTGAATGATTTTTATGACCCAATTTTTGCTTTGCTTACCGTAATAAGAACGTAGTTTCTGTCATTTGAATTCCTTCTGCGGAATCTTACACAGCCAGAATAGTGCTCGATGTGTCCGATAGCCCAAACGATGTAGTCCCTCTGTTGTTGGTCTGAATAGAAAATATTAACATATTATGTTTTCATCAGATTCTTGAATGTTATATTTTGGCCATAAAGCAGATACAAAAATCAAGCAACGGCTACTTACTAAAGTGTCCCGGAGCGAAGTCATATACCAAAGTGTTTTGGGGCCACTTGGTATTAGGGTGGATGTAGGCAGCTTTTCCCTGAGCGAAAGAGTTGACCAGCTCATCGATCTGCCTGTCATCTAGCAAGATATCCCCCTCGAATTTTCCACTCTTCTCCCAGATGTTACCAAATGGGTTCAGCTCGCTCGATGATGATCGGTAGGCATTTCCTGTAATTTGTCATGGTCATATTCTCATGGATGTCGGTTCAACTTGTACTTCAATAACAAAACATGTCGCCTGTAGGTGAAAGCCTTTTAAAATTATATTTTTGATTGCTTTCATTCTACAATGATGTCAACTACCATGTTTGCTCTTCTGAAGAAACTGTCTATATTCCTCCACTTCCGCCTTGGTCCTCCTAGGAGAGGGCCCGCAAACGACCGCCCCCACTAACAAAAACAGAACAGCAAACCGAAGCATCATTGCTCAAACTAAAGTTATGAAGTTTCTGGCACATATTTATAGTTTACTGATTGCAATCACAGATAATGCCCCTCAAATAATCACCTAATTATGTAGATATATATAATAAATAGGTATTTAAAGGGGTCATCAATATTAGTATCACAAAAAATGTAACGTGTGAAACTCCTGACTCTTTCTGCGATAAAAGAGCTTTTGTTTTCATGGACTGCATTAACTATAGATATAACAATTACACTTGATTAGTATACGTATTTTGCCTAACATACATTATTGATCCCAAGACATAGTAGCGAGCATTGTGAGCCTTCTTTTAGAAAGTACGAATATCTGGTCATACGTTGAAACCACTGCTGTACACTAATGGATTTTTCTTTCATCTCGGAAAATAAGTGTTGTTTGGCGGTCATTTGGAAGGGAAGGCTTAATTACCCTAAATTGGTTTGCTCCGCAAGGCGAGACGGTACTTCATTCCGGGCCACCGCTTGCAACTCTATAAAGCGCAAATTTGGCCCCACATAGTATAGTACTCCTACTATACTCACCTCTGGGAGCTCCCCAGTAGCAGTTCCTTCCGCTTGATCGTATTCAACGAAGAGCTATTCGAATCGTCAAGGACCAGTCAATATCGAGTGGGATGATCCCTTGGCGTTGCATAGAGAGCATTTACCAATTACCATGAAGAGTGTTCAGAGGAGTTGTTCGGACTAATACCTGCAGCTGAGTTTCATTATCGGACTTCAAGGCAGAATACAATATACCATCCTTATCATCTCGGCGTCCGTGGTTCCACAACTGAGCAGTTCAACTATAGAAATGGTTATAGACTACACCAACTACCAGAGATTTAAATTTAAAAGAGAACAGAGCCGCTATTCCACACAATTACTTTCTCGAAAGTCCCTGTTCACACACGCGATTCTTTTGGCCGTGGGCTCATTATGTGAGTAGTAAAAAAAATAACAGTAAGGTCTAAATAGTCGTTTTCTAATACAAACAATTCTTATCTTATTTATTGTATTAGTTTTTTTTACTCCTGAAGTTGTTACAACTGTTTATAAAATCTACGATTTTGTATGATTGTAATTCCACCAACACCTTACTTACATACGAGTATAAGTATAGTTAATTCTCGATAAAAATACGTAATTAATTAATTGGTCCTTTAAATAGTCCAGCCGGTGTCTTTAAGAAGCGAAAGTCTAAATAAGTTATAATTCACAAAAGGCCCAAGTTTTTTATGACATCCCCAAGGAGCAATGCGACCTTTATGTCGGGACACACGTGACGACTACTACGATGAACATGGCTTTAATAATAGTGGGATAATTGTTTGTGTTTCTTTTATTGACGCACGAATGTAATTATAATAAATTATTAAAAAAATCAATATTATTATATAAATACATGATCAGCGTTTAATTTATAAAACAGTTAAACGGATCTTGGTAATATGTTCGATCGTTTCATGAAATTGTAAAATAGTTATGTTATTCACCGTCAGAGGCGCTTTATTTTGGTAAAGTACTAAAAACAGTGGCGTAACAATAGGGTGGCAGGGCTGGCAAAATGCCACGGGCCCCCGACCCAAGAGGACCCCTACCCAAGAGATATTATGTTCTATGGATTCATGTGAAGTCTCCAATACGCATTGGACTAGTGTAGGGACTACAGACCTTTCCCTCTCACCTAAGAGAGGAGGCCTATGGCCATTTGTGGGACATATACAACGTGTAATTGAGTACGCTGGAAATCTCGAAGTTTTATTGAAATCCAACTGAGGAAGGACGATTTCCACGTGCCCCAGATGGTATATGGAATATAAACATAACTAAACATCAGCCTTAAAGGTAGACACGAGTAAATGATATAGATACCTGTCAATTGACAACGTAGCGCTACTTTAGTGGCAGACGTGGTCCTTAATCTTTATTCCTTATCATATAATTATCGATATTAAAAAAGTCTGCCGCATGAGCAAATCATATAAATAATTTGCTCGCCAGCTCCCTTGCTACTACTATGGCACACCTTAGGTGCAACAGGCTAACATTTTTTTAATGTACGAACAACGGTTTCTATTTATTGATCACCTATATATAGATAACATAAGTTAATGAGTTTAATTGAATAATACACATCATATCTTATCGATCTGTCACTGAAGGTAATTATATAAAAACTACCGATAAAATAATAACATGGTTGACGTAAGTTCGTTCGACGAGTGAAGCTTTACCGAAACTTTGTATCATAAAAGTATTTCTCGTCTAATAAGTTATATGGACCAAGACATAAAAATCACAAGCGATTAGGGACTATATATGTATAAGTTTTGCGCTGACTCTGGTCTGGCTCTTGTCAGCCCGTTGTTTCCAGGAATGTCTTCTATGTCATAAAATGTAGTCAGTCGTTGCTTCGGATTCGGCGTGTTCCTTGAACGAATCGGGACATATTTCCGCAAATTGGTTAAAAAATATGACTCATTTTCACGTTCTGCCTGAGCCGACCATAACATGATTCATTGTCACGTTCCGCCCGAGCCGAGCGTGCTAGCGACAGCGCGAAACAAGCGATAGAGGTAGATACAGCGGAAAACCATTGTTTATTACAATTGCAGCAAAAAAGGTAAATAATTCATGCATTTAATAATTCATTCATGATATAATCTCAATATATTTGTTCTTTGATTATTAAAAAAAAATCTGCATTAACGAGTATAATTATGTTAATTTATTGAAAAAAAAATCTTTTTTAATAAATTCCTTCAGTGTGTTATGCAAAATAATGATAAGTTTAGAGATAACAATTCAATTCATAAAATATGCAATTTTTTATCATGTTTTCTTATTACGTTATCTTATATATTCTTAGGCGTGTTGATAACAGTTGAAAAATTAAATACAAAAGTAAATAAAATAAAAGATGTAATGAAATTAAATATAAATATATTTTAAGGAATTTATACTTAAGTTTGTTATAAAAGCGCGGGAACCCTGACACAAGTATTTTTTACTTAAAAGGGTTCCCAAATCTTACACATTGTGATGCATATCTACTTAAAATGAATAAACACATTTTTATTTCTTTATTTACAGACTGTAAAAGAAAGTATTTTTTTATAAACACAAACATATCTGTATAGTTTCATTAAAAAAAACAGTGACTGTTTTGACGTCAATTCTGCAACCGCTCTCGTGTAGTTCAATACCGGTGTTATAAGAAGCGAAAATATAAATGAGATATTATTTACAAAACACACAAGATCAGTTTTTATGTTATCCCCAAGGAGCAATTCAACGACTACGACGAGTATGGCTTTAACAATAGTGGGACAAGAATTTGATTATTTATTTATTAGTAATATATATCAAACAGAAAACATAAGTACATTAATAGACAAAAAAAGACAACTGAAATTAAACCTTAAACCAACGACAATTAATACTTAATATTTCATAAACAAAACTGAATTGTTACTGCTAAACAAAGTCAAAGTCTTCCCGCCTCTTCAGATATTTCCTCATCTCTTTGGTGAGGTGGAAAATATCAAGAAAATTAGTGTAATCGTTAGATAAAACCAGAAACATTGGTGAATTATGTAGGAAATTCGTGTTCTTAAGACGCATATAAAATAATTGTATCATGTCGCATACGGTGGAGGGATTCTTAGAGAAATTAACGACAGAAATAATCTTGTTATTAATAAACGAAAAAAACTAAGCGATGATAGATAACAATAATATAATGTTACCTTACATTACAGAGCTATCAATATGTGCAGGCTTACTATGCTGATAAATTTGTATTAAGCAACATACTAAAAAACAAAGTCCTGAAATGTCCCTCGGGATGTTCACCTCGGCTTTGATCTCTACATATCGTGGCTGCCATAAATAAAGTCAGGACAAATTTCATCTCTGAAATTACTGAACTAAATCCGATGAATGTCATCAGATTTATTAGTTTACAAGTACGACGAATCGGTCAGAAGTTGTGCTATTCTCGACTGAAGGGTTACCAAAAAGGAATTATTAATTAATTTGTTTACCTGATAATTATATTATATATTAAAACCTTAATGTGAAATAGGAAACAAGTTCAATATCACGAATACTTAGTTTTTGGCGACTGAGGACTTGAATCTAAATGAATCCAACCAACTGCGTAACTATTTACATAACTTAGGGTATGATTGGAGTAAGCTTTTACGTACAATTCTGGTATTTTGCTTTTGACGGAAACATCAGAAAAAAAATCGGCGCCGTATACACAGAAGGGCTCACCAAGAAATTCATATTATATGATAACTCTCCGTCACTCTTTTAAATCGCAATGTTTTTTGCTTTACAAAATGTTTGTAAGGAGCTGCAACCATTACCAATGATCAATGAATAAGGTGAAGAAAGCCTTTGAAAGTCACACATGAAGGAATTATTTTCAACATATAAGCACCTTAAAGTATAGTATTCTAATAAAAAAAAATTAAATGCATTATAGACTATCATCGTAAATGCGTAAATTTCATGTGTGGAGACGCGATGACATGTGAGTGGCAGGTCACGGTCTACTGTCATACGAGCGGTCCGCGTATGCGCCCGTGAAACTGATACTAGGCGTGCGTGGGGTGGTCGAACACTTCTAAGAACTATTGGGCGTATTGTATTTCTCGCAAGTTTAATTTTAAAGATTTTACATAATTTGCATTTATTAAATACAAATTGGGACATACTTAAATATAAACTAACTTAAAGGCAGAAAAATCTGCGCGGCCTAAAAATAAGCTTCTTACAGACATTGCGACAAAAACCATGACTATTACAACAGCTAGCACCTTAAAATGGTTAGCTAACAGATCAACGTCTTTCCTGTTCCTTCTGGGACTCAAAAAAATGTAGAGATTTTATGGAAACCGGTATAAATGCCATATTAATTAGTTTAAAAATGTCGCCAATATTTAATAAAAATACTCATAATCAAGTAAAGAAGAAAATTAATTAACTTGTGTAACTGTTTCTGTTTCTTCCTTTTTTCTTATGTGTCTTACCAACAAGGCCACTTGTTGTCACGGCTATAAATAAATGATAAGTCTTTTAAGGTTATTGCTATTTAATTATCGTAATTTTTATAGCTTCATAATGGTAGGTACATTAAAACTTGTGATTTCACCCACGGTTTTAACTGCGGAACCCTGAAATCAAAAGTTGACAACATTGACACGCACTTAACCAAAAGTCTGTCCCAGATAAGCACATCGTAAAGCGAACATCACAGATAATAAAAAATCGAATCTGTTTCAGCTACCCTTCAGCCGTGTGTTTTTCATTATAATCATTATCTCCTCAAAACAGAGATATCCTCAGGAAATATCGAAACAGAGTTTTGGGTTTTTATTTTACAAGTAACTTGATAGCATTGACAGTTGATAATTATTATTTATCTAAATTATAGTAGAGATAATATTTTTTATTATTTTAGTAAACGTTATGGAATTTTAAGTAATTTTATGAAGTGTTAGCTTCAGCGTGCGACTCTTATCCCTGAGGTCGTAGGTTCGATCCCGGCTGTGCATCAATGGACTTTCTGTCTATGTACGCATTTAACTTTAACGCGAACGGTGAAGGAAAACATCGTGAGAAAACCGGCATACCTTAGAGCCACAAAATCGACGGCGTGTGTCAGGCACAGGACGCTGGTCACCTACTTGCCTATTAGATTGATCATGAAACATATACAGAAATCTGAGGCCCAGATCTAAAAATGTTGTAGCGTAACTGATTTATTTTATTTAAGCTGTTATATTACTAAACGCCAATTTTTTCACGGTCCTCTAATTGGTCATTTCTATGAAATAAAACCATCTCATCACGAAATATTTTCGCATTAATTAAACGTCATCGGCATCGCTATTTTGATGCAGATTTGTAGTACATGACTTGTGTAACTATAAGTATTTACACAACGCAAGCAATGTAAATTTTCCCCGTTTTCACTATTTATTTATTGATGCTCGCTCCTATTAATCGTAGCGGATGTTATTCGGCCTATGTTCGAAAACATTGATGTCGGTTCAATAGTCGTAAACAGTGGGATTCAAATTATTCGTGAATATAGCATTCGTGTATTAAATTGTATAAATTCCAAACATTCGAGTACTAATATTGCCGTATGTACATGAATAAACAAAACTATTTTTAAATATATTTTATATATGTATATTATGGGATATATATCCTATACGATATATAACGAGTTTGTCGCTAGCAATAAAAAACGGAAACCTAAGGAAATTTACTTAAAGGTGGATTTTAAGTTAATTAAATTTAATTTAATTGGCTGCCGTAAATTAATACGCGTAAAGTGAATATGTATTACAAAAACGAGTTCTCTTACCAAAATCACAGCTTGAATCCTTCTGGGAATGCTTTCCACGATGTTTTTAATAATGTTCCAACTCTTCTGCAATGACTCTTTTTAGCTCCCTGACGACGTGACTTCTTAACGCATAGACTAATTAATGCAGAACGAAATGCAGATTTAATAAAAGTCATTACTTTATTTAAAAAATGTCTTATTTATTTTTTTGATATATAAAAATATTTCCATAGCTCTAGAAAATAAAGAATATCAATTTAATACTTCTAGAATATAACAAATGTAATTACAAAATATTGGACGCTATACCAGACTCACATTCCTTCTAATTTTTAATATAAAAATTATACGGATTCTGTCACACAACGCCATCTCTTTCACACTTTCAAAAATACGGCTACTTAGAATATCAGTTCAATATTACAATGAAAATTACAAAAGAGACGGGCTAAACAATCCTGCAATTCTAATACACTAAAAATACAATACACGCGGTAATGTTTTACACTAAATTGCGTAGCGGTCAACAATAATCACCAGGCTAAGTGATAATATTCCAACTTCAGAAAAATATATTTTTAGGTGACGTCACGTGATGAATTGCAGAGTCACGTCCCGAGTCTCTTTACATTAGCGACATCTGTTGGCTTCAATGCGAAAACAATCTCAAAGTAAATAACATCGTCGTGGCACATTGTTTAAACTTAACCTAAATGAGCTCATTTACATAAATAAAAGTACTTGTGCCTTTAACTTATACTAAATCATTCCAACTCGTATTTTAAAATGTGGTTTAGTTAAGGTAATATCAAATTTAGACTCGATTCACCGTTTGGAATACGGTCCCTAGCTTCACTACGTGAGAAAGACAAATGACAATCCTATCATATGAAGGTTTGCTCGGTCCACTTTCGTATAGGCAGCGGCACGTAAGTCTAGCGCTGGCCGATACGTGGAGGGGATTGCTGCGCATGTGTACTGTCGCGCGGGGGACGGAATGCGACTGGAGAGCCAATCGAAACTCTTCATTCCGCTAGCCCCCCTCAGGTACCTTATTTTTTACTTCTGCGCAATAACGGTCAGCGCTAGAGTTTCGTGCCGCTACTTGTACATTTAATTCAGAATTAACACTATAAAAATAAATATAAAAAACTGTATTGCTGAATAAAAATCTGCTATAATCTATGGGGTCATGCTACAAAAATAATCTACATTATTACTACTTCTACTTTAGGCTTAATATATGCAAAAAATATACAATAAATTGCATCAATACGAACGCTTTGCTCAAAGCAAGCTTCGGGTTATTTAAATTGGCAGTGTACACTGGTTGATTCTTTTCAATTAAGCTAAAAAACTTTACTAGCTTTCTATAGCATTGCAGCCGCAGCTGCGTCACAATTATGATTATCAATATTGATAAGATAAAACTAATCGACCATTTTTTAAATTATTTGTATTGTTTTTAGAAATACAAATCAAAAGTTATTTAACAAAACGTCAATTTATATATTATATCAACCTCTTGCTTAATGTTGCCCAATCTATAGTCGTGTTCCAGAGATATCTATTGCACAGAAAAATAATAATAATCTAAAAAAAATAATTTACTATAATCTGTCGTGGAATATTTATGGAATTATCGTTGCAGAACAATGTAAATATAACTATAATATTACAAATAATACAACAAAGAGTGAAGGTTATACCTTCGAAACTTACCACTAACTTATTAACAATAACATTTAAGTAATTAACAATGGCAATACAGAGCGGTTTTGGCGCCATTTTTAATCAAAGACTATAGCTAAGAGCTGTCACTCACTTTAGTTGCCAAATTCGTTTTTAACCATTCATCGTCATTGTGTCTTCATAATATGATAAAATAAGCCTTTAAAGACACTAGACACAAGAGAGCTGAGCAATGGCAAGATCGTAAATTTAGTTGGTGAGAAGCGAATTATACAACTATAGATTATTCGTAAAAGGCCATAATAAGGCTAGTAATAATCTAAACACGGACTGCTATAGGGTATATTTATAGCATACATTTCCTTTGCGCCATACTATATAAAATGTTTAATTACAAAATATATTACACATATATTGCAAGCCGTCTTTTACATGATAAGAATCGTGATACAAACTGTACGGCGATAAAAAATCAGCATAAGCTTACAAAATATTTGATCCCGTTGCCTTAATACTATTCATTTCGTATAAAAGCGTTTGGCAGTGTACTTTAAAGTAATACAGATACAAAATAGTTACTATAGATAATAGAGTATTATGTCGAGAGCATAGATAAAAATAAATGCATGTTCTTTCGATATCGTGAGCAAATTTAACATCAAACAATTTTGCTAACCGTTCGGAGCATAAGCGAGTGACAATTTTTAAAACATTTGCAATTGTCATGCCCTTATCTCTTAAGGTATATTGACTCTTTATTGGCTTACTGTAAATTGGATTTCGATGTTTATCGAACAGACATATGAACTATCGTAAATCAAAGGTGAAACATTTAAAAAGAGGTTTCTTTAACCAAAAACATAAACTAATAAACCTCTCAAGATGTTTTACACATAAAATCACAAATATTGGCACCGAAGTAAGCTATGCAGTCTCACGTTTAAGGCTAGAAAACGACACGTTCTTCTCGCTCTACGCGTTTAAGCATTCATTACGATACTTATTCTTACTTGAGCAAAATTCCTAGGAATAAGTCTTCTACATGCTCCCAAAGAAAGTTCTGGAGTGGTCCCGGTCAATGATCACCTCTGAGCAGCTCCATTAGGAGATTAAAGCTCGGGGCTTCGCCGTCCTTCTTATTAGTCGGATTCAGCATTTCCTTACCGACTTGCATAAAAAACTAGAAAGGGGAACGTTCAATCAGTTCGTTACAATGTAATCAGTGTGACAAATGTAATTTCTCATTCATTGAGAGTTAACGATTTGCACTATTTTTAATCGTAATTTTAAGATGTATAGTTGTTTTTCTAGTTTTTGTCACACGTTTTTTATAAAATATATTTTTTACTACTGAGTTGAGAGAGAAAGGTGTGCTGCGGGTTAGATTGAGAGAGGAGGAGCCTGCCTACCACTGCCGTATGCAAGAAACGGCAGCTAGACAGACTGACGCCGTAATGCGTTACGTAACGTAACAATAAAATGTCTATAGTTCATTTTAAATATTTCACAATTACTTTATAAAGCGTAAGCATTCATGAAAATCATTACAAAGAATTGTCGCGAGCTGTTTTTGTAGCTTTCACATAGATTAAAACGAAAGTACATCAAATGGCATGCATTTTATCAAATAAGATAATAATCTGAAATCACGCTAATGCGAGCGACCTGTCAACATAATAATTAATTGTCAAGTGATTTGTCTCGAGATACGGGGTTTAGGTAATGTACGAAATGTTTTGCAAACAATTTTAAAGATTAAAAATAATTATTTCCCCTTTTAACAGCTCGTTGACGACCTTTGTCCTTGGGGATGTATTCTTTAACATCAGTTATATTATTTGGGTCAGAGACACGACACACGACGAACAGGCTTCAGTATATCTTCTCAATAGCTATTGTAAAAGAAAAGTACAGAAAACGCGTCATAAACAACGTTTTCTAACCTCCTGGTCTTACCCGAATGCTAGCCACAGAGCTGCTCCAATACATAATTATCTCCTAAAAGGAAACTATGGTAAAGCTAAGACATTGAATATACCTGACACGTCCTCTGCAGCTCGGGTATGCGCAGAAGGAGCTCCCCGAACTTGGCGGGAGTGTCGGGCGAGTGCGTGGCCGTGTAGGCCTGGAGGGCGGCCAGCGCCTTCTCCTGCGATGCGCGCACGCACTCCGCTTCACGCAACTCGGGCGCATCTGGAAGGTTTTCAATTGTCAATCGACCTTGTCAAACATAACGCCCATTCTCCCTTCCCAATACACGAATTCGTAGATAGAAGTTATTTATTTATTTATTTATTTAGTTATTAAGCTTACGACAGCACACACAGTACTAAAATTACTAATTATTTTACAAAATCTCACATCTAAAATGTGTGACAATTAATGTAAGCATAAGTTTCACAAAAAAAATTAAATAGAAATTAAAAATTAAAAATACAATTAAAACATATACAATAGTAAAAGCACACAATAAAATAAAATAAAATTACAGAAATTTGTTGGCACTTAGGGCAGAAAAAAAAGAAAAATCATCATCAAAACAGCGAAATTAGGTTCGAGAAAGGCACCCCACAATGCTCTCTCTAAAACCGATCAGCCCACTACCGAATATATCCAGCTCTGGATAAGCTGTGTTCAATTTGTTAAAATCACGAAGAATTCGAACGAGAGGTGCCTGAACTCCTAGGTTGGTTTTGGCAGAAGGAATTTGGAAGATATTGTTGATTTTAAACCTAGGGAATGAGTAAAGGACGACAAATTTGATTTCCTGTAAGAGGTCACTGCTCTGTGTATGGTTATTGAGCAATTTATGCAAGAAGGTAACACCGGCTAGAGTTCTTCGATTGTACAGAGATAACATATGTATTAAATTTTTTGAGTCGCTGATGGTACGGGTGCCTATGTGAAAATCCTCTGCTTATGAAAGCTAGGTGCCGCGTACAAGATCTTTGAATGCTTTCAACGCGTTGCGAATAGATCGCATATAGTGGATTCCATATAATACTGTTATTTCAAATATGTACACAAATAATTAAAGATTATAAAAAAAATCTTATTGAGAGTAATCGGTATAAAATATGGCTTTAAGAAATACAAAAATCCATAATTTAAAATATTTATTTTTATTCGTCAGTCACATGATACAAAATGGTCACAGATTAGACGAATCGACGATGACGTAGCATGCTTGTAAATAATATGTCTGAATGACAATTAACGCCCTAACAACCTGACATTTGTTTACTGGCACGAAGAAGCTTGAAGATTACAAAAAAAGAGATAAAAGCTAATGGTATTCAAGTCTCGGTCTCACCTGAAGTGAGCAGCACGATGACCTTGAGGGCGACGTATTCGTATCTGTCCACCCGGAGACGTCTCAGGTGGTCCGTGAAGCTCAGCATTCGTTCTATACATGGCGTAAGACCGTATCTGAAACAATTACTACTTTTCATATACAATATATTATCAAGATCTTCTCAACAAATCACCGGAGTCTGTCAGTCATACAAACGTGATGTAAGAATATATTGGTAAAATAACAATAATTTTAACTACGCGTTCACTCACTTGGCGCTCTGCTGCAGGGTGATGCCCCTTCCGCCTCCCACGCGCACTTCTCCGGGAGTGCTGACCCCGCGGTAGCAGCAGGACAGCACCAGCAGCTCGCACCAGCTGTTTATGAGCAGGCAGATCTGGTCGTCGATCTGGTGATATTTCATTATTCTCCGATGAAACCTTTACGCTTTACACGTCGGTTAACATATACAATAACGATAACTTAAAAACAATTTATTGTTCTTACGAGCTACGCAATAAAGTTATTTGACATTTGTGTAAATAAATAGAGAAACTTGAACGTAAAAAGTTCTTGTATTTATCCAAATAACGGTCTTGTTTATATGTTTTCCCCGTGACAGGCTGTCGTAATTGATTTTCTAAATCGATCAATCATAGCTAGAAACAAACTATTTACCGCGACTAGCTACTTAACTTTCTCGTCGATCCTTCAAGAATTATTTTTATCACTAGGAATATGGAAGGGACCTCGTCAATTGAGCGATAAAACAGCCAATAAATACCCGAAATAAATTAATTTGTAAAATTTCAAATTACTTTTTTTCACGATCGTAACGCAACTTGGTCGAGAGTGAAGATTAGTTATCCGAATATAAACAGACAATGACAAAAGAAAGATGGCGTTTCGCGCCTTTTTTAATTTCCTTTTCTTTTACTTTGACAGGTGGCATTCTGATACAACGACAGACCAACACGAATAACTCACCGAGATGTTCTTGAAGAGCGGCAGACTCTTGCACCATTTGACGATCTTGTACAGCCTGTGGTCGGCGATGTTGCACAGGTCCGCGAGGAAATCTGCGCTGGAGTTCTGCGCCGTGATCCCGCTCGCGGCCAGAAGGGGGTTCGCCGAAGGACTGCCCGTCGACTTGCCCAGTCTGTTCAGCTCCGACTCGTTGTATTGCCAGAGATGCTCCACGTCCATTATTTCCTATTAACAGGAACGCCCGCTTTTCAAATACAATCATCGCATCTTCGGCAAAGTGCAAATTGTATAAATGTATGAACATCAGTAACAAAGATGTGAATTTATATTTACAGCCAGCTCTCAAATCACGGGCCTAGAAAGAGAAGAACTGGCAATACAATGGCAATCAGTCACTCTTTTAAATCGCCAAGGTTTTTAAATAAATTGTTAGTAACCTGCAACTATATTATGCTTACTATTGTAATTGAATACAAAATGAATGATGAAATTGAACGGTTCACCTCTATCAGCGAGTGAACTATCAACTAGCGAACGAGCGAAATAAATACACTAGACTCACTTGCAATAATGGCGGAATATCCGGCGTGAGTCGGCTGTTGCTGGATTCCCCTCGACTGCTGTACGACCCTGGGCCTGAAACCTGGAAATTAAATAAATTATTACATTGTAATTACATCGCTAGTAAATAACCCGTCGGTTGAAGGTTAATTCGTTAGAAATCATCAATCAATCAAAAATACCTATCTTTCATTTTTTTTCGCCTGCAAATGGAAAAACCCACGAAACCACCAGATCGCAAAAAAAAACAAAAAACTCACCGAGCTGAGGCTAGAGGCGTGTCGCATGGTGGTAGGCGCGTGCGCAGAGAGCAACGAGCCAGTGGACGAGGCGCCGGACAAAGAGTACGAACACTGGTACGTGGAGCGTCCGCCTCGGGTGCGGTCTTCTCGGATCGCTGAAAACATCGCATTATGTATTAACTCCGCCACCGACTTTCCTTATCATTTATATTCGTGCACATTAAAAACTGATCAAACCCACCTTCCAGCTTCATCCCGCACCCGAGGCACTTGTCGAAGCGGCAGGCCGGGCACTTCTTCCTCGTGGCCACGGTGACGGGGCAGTTGCCCCCTCGGAGGCACATGTAGTTCTTGCGGTTCTGCACGGTGCGCTTGAAGAAGCCCTTGCAAGACTCGCACGAGAAGATGCCGTAGTGGAACCCGCTGATCTTGTCCCCGCATATGGGGCAGGGGCTGGAACGGGAGGAGAGACGGCTCGTAATGTTGTTCAAAGAAGAGCACGACTACTCTTACAGGGCAAGGTCTCGACAGAAGAACGATAAGTAGAGAATAGTATCTTAGTCTGATAGAAATTAAGTTTATTATCACTTAAAGGTTTTAGGTTCGATTCCTGGAATACACATGATACGGCTGAATATTCGTTGTCAAAAGGCTCAAAACTCACACTTTAATCGAAAGTTTATATAGGTACATACCTATTGATAAGCTGCTGCCTGCTGATCCCCTGATGATGATGAAGTCTGTCATCGATCTGCTCCGAATCGTCGTCGTGGGCGGGTGACGCCGGGTATACAGCCGTTTCGCGATATAGAAGGTGAGGGTGGCGACTCTGGAGAAATATATTTAAATGAGTGGCTGATCATTACAATGCCGCTAAGGAAAGTTGTATTGATCATTATTAACATCAACCTGAACCGGCGAATGCGTCGGCGAGAACTCCGAGCTGTAGGAGTAGCAGGAGGAGTGCGAAGCATCGCTGTTGTTCCGCGAGAGAGAGGGCGTGTAGTGGCGCGAGGGGCGGGGGCTGGCCGAGGGGCTGCTGTAGACGCTGAGGGGGGAAGCGGTTTTAGCAATAATACACAATTACAATATACGATTCGATTCAATTATTAATTAATTACCTGTGCGTGTACATAGAATGAACCGCCGAATCGGTACTGGCGCTGGACTGCACCCGCGGAAGCCTCCCCATGAGGGGTGATCCGTGAGCTCCCAACAGCTTCTCCATGCCGAGGGACTCGCATTTTAATTCTGAAAAATATGAAATATAATTAGTTTAAAGTCTTCGTTGAATTATTTTTACTCGATCGTTATACTCTCTCACCCGATAGCTGCGTCTCCTTCTTGATAGTCAAGTTCTGAACTTCAGTGACGGAGTTCTGCATCGGCATCTGTTCGTAGTGGTCGGACAAGGCCAGGGATTTCGCGCTACTCGTGGGCGAAGACGGGCGACGAGCGAGTGAGAGGCTGTTGTCTGTCAGCACTGATATCTGAAATAAGAGCACCAGAGTTTTAGGATTTTAAGACCCTATCCCAACACCAATTGCTGGGTCAGTGTCTCGGGGTGGACTGCGATGCGCAGTGGTGAGCACTGAGGCGCGCCGGCCCGTAATAACAATTAGTTATGTAAAACATTAAATTAATATAATTTCATCAATTTTTTTTCTAAAATGGATTACTTGGCTTGCGATAAAATATAGGTATCGTGTAAATTTCAAAATCATGTTCTATTTACATTTTCGTTATAAAATGAATTCAAAGTGTCAAGAATTGGCTATATTTGGATTTGTTTTCTATCGAGCGAAGTTCTTTAAATCGTGTATCGATCTTTTAAAATGGATACATAAACTACTCAACTCCACCGTATATCTTTTCCATTCCCCTACTTCAAGATAATGATGACGAAAAAATGGAAAGAAACAAGGTACTTTTTTGAAGTTAGGCGACCATAGGTCCTTAAAAACAATAATTGTTCCCCGATATAGCAATTTTTAAATAAGATCGCTTTGGATTCCTTAAGTAATTACTTCTGCCTTCATAGGGATATCTCTCTATTAGTTGTAAAATAAATTATAACCTTAAAAATATAGTTTCCTTTGAGTACAATTTGATCTTCGGAACTGAGTTTGTCCTCTGTTAGTATAATATTAGGCATTTGTTCGTAGGGCACGGTGAAAAGACTTAGGTGCAGTTCGAGTAGAAAGTTATTAATGAAATGAATGGAACCAGTTCTTTGAACCAGTCCGATACGTTCCATCATAATTTCTCGCGAATATTTTATGAAAATCAAACCTATTCGAGATATTCTTACGTATACTTTGGATTTAGTTGATAGTATGTAAGCGCCCGTAGTCTACAACTTCTTCAACGAACAAAGACTTTGAAAACACACTTTTAGAAGTTATAGAAGAAGGGGTTTCCTGTTTCTTTATCCTATATAAGATACCTAATAGCTACGTGCTACGTGTGTGTGTGCAGTTCTTTAAAAAATATAACCTTTCCTTTAATAGCCAATTATAATAATCAAATCTGTGTTATAAACATGATTAAACTTATACTATTTAAACCTTTTGTCAATCAGGGCCGGAGTTAGGGGAGGGAAACCCTGCAGCCCTAGGGCGTCAAGAGACTTCGGAAAAAAAATGTTTCAAATTCCGACTAGTAAACACTCGTAAACAAGTTTTCTTTTGATATATTTTTATATGTTTGTTAAATACTAAAAGAATCTACTTGGTATTTATTGTCTTTGATTAACATAACCTTTACACATTTAAAGAAAAAATTTTTTACCGGATTAATGTTATCTATTTATTATAAATTTACAATTATTTAACATAATTTTAAATTTATCCCGACGTTTCGCGTGCTTTACCCGGTATATATAATAATATTCTTATGATTATTTATAATCCGGTAAAAAGTTTTTTCTTTAAAATCTACTTGGTTTCACAATAAATTATTGATTGAAAAACGCGTCTGAATTTTTTTTTTATTTTATTTGGAAAATAATTTGGGGGCCTTTTGTTTTCAATAAACGAACGAAACAACAATACAAAAAACATTTGTATATAAAACATTTCCCTGATAATTTGAATCAATAATTCGCCTGAAATTAAAATTTTGAACTTGAACTTTTAGGCTAGAATTAAAATTGTGCTTACTCTGTTCATACTGAGACTCCTCTGATGAGGCTGCAGAGGGGCATACTTCAAATCCAGAACCCTCTCGTCGTCGAGGCTCTGAAACGGCTCGGTCTTCACATTCTCAGACTTTATTGTGACGTTCCGAAGCGTGTCTAACGAGTCCCGAGACGACTGCAGGTCGATAGAATTGCTGTTTTCATCTGTTTCAATAATTTATAGTTTATTTGGACCAAAAAATTAGGACAAACATGATACAATCAAATCCCTAACATACAAAATATATGAAGAGCGATGCCGTCCCTATAACATGTTGACACCACCATCGAAATCAAGTAGATACAAAAAATAGGGTTACAAAACCAATAAAAATACTACAAAAATACTAAAAGAACTTTAACTTTAATTAATAATCTTCAATATTCAGCCAATGTATTTAATATAAATATAATACCGTTGTTTACGCTCGTGTCTATGACCATCTCGTGGTCGGACAGCTCCCCCTCCCACGACATCGGCCTCTCTTGTTCCTCGCCATTCATAGAGGATCGCTTCTTCTTATTTCTCATGTTCACCTGAAAGTCATTTATCATTTCATTGTTATCTTGTCTCTCACTCACGCAATAACACATTCAACACATTGAAATATTATCCAAAATATTGACAGTAGCGGGTGGAACATGGCCCAGGGTTGTAAGAATCAGAACAAAATGGAGTAGAGCTAAGAGGTCTAACTAAATTAAAGTACTAGGGTAGTTTAGTATTTCATATAGGCCAATCGCCTACCCGATTCGACTAAAACATAACGGTGTTTCTGAAAACATAGAAACTCAAGAAGCATTACCTCGTACTGACGTTGTGTAAAGTCAATTTTAGAGATCTCGGCGTCGGTCGAGTCTTCATCATGAGGCACTGATGAGACGCTGATGCGCACACCGCTCGAACTGTATGAGAACTGGCCTGAAATGTTTATCTCTCATAAGTAAAAGAGATATACCAACAAACGTATAAAATAATGATAGAAGAGAATAAGATAGAGAAGAAGGGCTCTCATAAAGGGATTTTGATGGTCAACGGTTTTAAGCGTTTATCTTTATTTATATTTTTTTAGCAATTACAAATTTGAAGTTTTTGTGAAACGTACAATAAAGCCGAACGTCCACCGCCGGCTAAACTAAATGAAAACTAAACTCAGTGAACTAAGCTAAGCTAAACTAGAACTACGTTGTCCGTCCACCAATAAATAAGCTAAAACTACGTTAGTGATGGCCAGTTTGTGCTAGAACGTCGAGTTAGAAGGCGACACGAGCAATGACGAGACTTTAGAGGTAAGAGAGGAGGAGGAGGTCTATCGTCATAGGAGAAGAACATTGATTATTGCTTATTTTATGAAGAAAAAACGGAAACATAGATACTGGATAAGTCAACACATTCAGTCCTGGAAAACAAGTAGCGAATTTAACACTTTGTTTAATGAACTAGACGACGAAAATTTTAAGATGTACTATCGTGTATCTACAATAGTTTGATGAGTTACTGACTACTGTCACAACACTGTAGACAGGCGTGAGAGGGGTAAGGCAAGGGGGTGAGAGGCGCTTAGTTGCGCTGAGTTAGTTACGGATCGGGCGCACAACTAAGTTAGTTCCACTTAGCTGGGGCATTTCACGTAGCTTAGCTGGCATAGTTTGCGGTGGACGCACATGTATGAAAAACTGGCTCAACTATGCGAGCTAAGCTAAACTAACTTAGTTTAGCCGGCGGTGGACGTTCGGCTTTAGAACCGTTTTAGCAACGCCATCTATTGGAACAACGTAATTTCTAAATTAATTAAAAGATGGCGCTAATAGTCCGTATTTAAGCATATTATGCTGAAAATATTAAATAATAAATAAATAATTCGGACTTTATAGCACTCCCATATTTTAATACCTTCTGTGAATGGCATTCGACAATTCATTGCATTAAGGAATATCACCTTTATTTATTATTATTAATTAAAGTTCACTTACCGCTAGTCGTATCTGGTCCCGGCATACTGATAGTGGTCACAGAAATATGTCCGCCTTCCACTTTCACTGCTTCTCCTTCACTAGTCATCGTGTTCATTGTTTCAACATTACAAAATTTCACAACACTAAAGCACCTCACTTAAGTCCATAAATACGTAGAAAAATATTTAATTGATCATCTCCCGTTAGGTGTGAAGGCATCGTTCAGTCTTGTCGTGGCCCAGTGGAAGACAGTACATTTCCATGCGGAAAAAGTCGATACGTGCGGTACTGGTCTCGGCCAAATCGTCATTTTGTTATCTGCAAACGATACAATATTTATTAATAACACGATTCCGTAATACAACTTAAGAAAAATTAAAAAATATAGAACCTCATTCATCAAATATTCAATAACGAATTTAAAAATATTCGACCATTAATAAAAAAGTAAAAAACGGAATCACCGCGTGGATTCAAATTCAAAATTGGAATAAAGCTGTTCGAAAACGGTGTTTGTGTACACACACGACACGCGTAGCGTTCGCGTCGCGCGGCCTTGCGGGCGTACCCAGTGTTGTGCGATAGCGCTCATTTATCGATAGACGCACGACCTCCATGTCATTGGCATTATGTTTACTTAGCGTGGAGTCAATATGTTTCAATTATCACACACTGACCGCATATATTGAAACGGTATTTACATGTTTTGTAAAAATTCAAGTACGTTTATTTATGTAATTGTTTTGCAGAATCGAGGTGATCATGCGACATATTTACCACAATAAAGCAAATCATTACAATTTAATTCGTACGCAAAACCTCACTTCAACAATAGCATAAATAATTAAATATTTTCACGACACGTATCACATTGATTTTGATAATAAACAAAATGGATAAGATAGAGTTATCGACACGAACAAGCCCTAGCGGAGTGGGGGGGAACGGCCTTCACGAAGCCGGTTAGCGGTCGGTCATTTCGCCTTTCGTAGACTGCTCCGCCGCTCCCAATAAAACCATTGCCTCAACAATTTGTATATTCAACGAAATACATATTTCAACTTGTGGAAACCGATGACTTCGTCCTCATGGTTATGGTAAAAGAGATGGTCACACTTTTATTTAAATACTTTATTAAGAGAATAACAAAGGTTAACGACCATAGACGCTTGTTAGAGGCTTATTTATTTATTAAAGTTCACCACATCATAAATAATGCTACATCTACAGTATATGTTAGATATATTTTTAATAATAAATGACAATTGTGGTAAACATAAATGTTAGATTTTAATAGAAACTTTTTGCTTTTTGTTAATGAAAAAATTACTAGCAAAATGCTTTTTTTAAATTGATAAGCCCACTACATGTTAATTCTGTTATAATCGTGAATAATTCGAATGAGAGGTGCCAGAACTCCTAGGTTGGTTTTTGCAGACGGAATTTGGAAAATTCTGCTGATGTGACCATTTAAAATTAAAATAAAATATGTTTATTATGGAACATAAGATACAGGTATCACTTATTCCACGTCATTAAATTTGAATCTTTAGGCATCCCTACTCATCGGCAAAGAAGACAGAGGGTGTAGGCCGAGAGGAAAAGTCGGCGTAAAAAACTCTCGGTACTCTTTTAAAATAGCAAATCATCAAACAACACTTATTTTAAGACAAATATCGCAAATTAATTAGAAAAGCCTGTCTAGCCCTAGTCTAGTCCCAGGCCCTTTTATCAACTAGATAATCTTTAAATTTATAGTAAGCCTTTTTACACATTTAACAATTAGTATAATAGATTAAGAGTATAAGAATACCGTCTGAAGGCTCAATTAATGGCCAATGTTGGCAATCATATCCGTTGCCATGGTAACCGGGCAATTGTCAATTACACAATGCATCGCTCTGTGCACGAGCTGTTAGGTAATCTCGGCGTTTACGCGAATTGCTTAATACAGATGCTATCCACTTTTAAATGAGAACGGAAAGAAAAAATTATACGCTTTAAGACAAATCCAATGTTATGTACCTCGACATTTTCCTTTGCGGGACGAATGTATGGAATTATAAAGGAGCAATCTCATTTTAAAATGTTTCACAAATAATATGCGATCGAGATGGCGTCATGTGGCCTAGACAAGGCCGAGCGGTCATGCTGATACGTCCTTTGTTTCACAATTTTATGATAAGACTAGCAGCCCCCGCGAACTTCGTTTCTCCTTAATGTGATTTTACCTAGCCTACCTTTATAGTACATACCAACATGGAACATTTTGCTATGCTACCCCAGAGACTGAACGGTTTTCTGGAATTAAAACTTTTTAGGATTTTCAGTGATTTTTTCTGTATATAAACGTCAGAGTTCAAGTCATAAGATTTTAATTAACAAATAAAAAATTGGGGTTGATCGTAGAGGGGTGAAAATTAAGGGTTGTATGTATTTTAATTTTTTTATCTAAAAAATTAAAATTAGTATGGGAGCGAACATTGTGACACAAGAATTTTATATATTAGATTACTTTTTGTTACGAAGTGTATATGGACAAATTAATTGTTAATCATTTGTCTATGGATCCCTAGAAATCGAATAGTTTTTCTTTGAATAATTGAGAAATACTTTTATGAAATTCAAGTTCTTATCTCCACTGCGCCCGCGGCTCACGAAAAATAACTTGTCAGAAATTGATAACAATGAAACGTGTTCTTAGAATAAATGACATTTCTGAATATTTATATTTGAGCTAATGTTCCACTTGAGTACCTTGTTCATCCTGTGATATTTGTGAAAGAATCAAAACCAACCAGTATTTGTATATTATTTTCTTTCCCTAAAGTTGGCCTTGCTTTGAATCTTTAAGGTAATCTAAGAGGTCTTTATAAGAAAACATCTAATTATCTAATTTCGTGAAGTTTATTACTCGGAGACAAGGCGACGACCGATTATTCTCTTGAGGTCATAGCATTATCTATGACGTGTATCGTACCATGCACAACGAATTATGATAGTGATACTACAGGTTGAATTAGATAAACTGACGATACTAATGTTAGGCAAGGAAAAAAAATATACACAGTAACTCGGCAGTACTACAGTGCCTTCGCCTCAACGTGCCTGATGGGTACGCCAGAATGGGTATGGGCATGTGCCCACAGCTAGGACTAACCTTCTGAAAAGAGCACAATGATTCGGTGTCCGTTGAGTGAACTGACAAAAGTTCTATTACTTTACTTAATTTTTTGTATTATGTAATTTTGTTTTTCCGAATTTCTTATATTTGTTTCGTGTGTAACTTTTATTCATTTGTTTTGCATTCTTGTCGATGTAGAGTCACCTGTTAGGGATTGTTTTTTTATAAATAAATAAATCATTTGTAGCGAATTAAACCAGAAACTGTATATAGTTAGTAACAGGCATTCTAACGTATGCTTTACGAGGTCAAACACATCGGATTTAATATGAAATAAGAAACAACAAAATCGAACAAAGTTGCTTTACAAGTTACAATGTCTAAGGTAGGTCCAAAGACAGAATTAAAAATGTTACCCAAGGCCTATTTTCAATGTTGTCTTAATAAACAGGAAAAAAGAAGATCATTGACTCAAACTCGTCATAGCTCCATGTCATTAGCATTTAGAAAACTTCCCGTGTCCTTGACCGTGATTAGAGGTCGTTCTAGTACATCGCACCCTCGCCCACGCACAGACTGAATTAGAAGAGTTGAATATTCTGATACCAGCAATTAACTTTCTTCAACTACAACCATATTTGTTTAACTTTAGCACCAAGTTACAAGTTCTATTACCATTACACGTACAAACTTATTCGTAATTTTCCCAAAAAGCCAGACTGCAGCTGTCCAAACTTATATTTGCAAATAACATATAACATAAGACGTAAAACATTTACTGTGACATTTATTTGTTTAGCGTCTGAGGTCGTGAGTAACTGTGCGTTGCCACTTAAGGCTATGTCGTGAAGGACAAAGAAGGCTCACTTAGTATCTCTGTCTCTTACGCGGAGAACGCTCGAGGCAGCTGGTCTGAAACCCTCTGGGTAGACGAGAATGAGGCAGACAGATTTATTGGATCTGACACGTTTTTACTGTTTTTCAATATTATAGAGCAAGTGTTAAATGTGCACATATAAAGAAAAGCCCATTGGCACCACATGACAGAACGGAAAACTACATAAATTAATACATTAAACTGATGCTAGCAATATTCAGCGGCAAATATTGTCTAAATCCTTTGCAATCTAAAGCCAAAACCGTGTTTTACGATAATTTATTAAGTACTTTATCGATGTCATAATCCGTCAGCACACTGGTTGCACCTAAACCGGTAACTTTGAATTAAGCATTGATTTTTTATGAATTTCAGTGGAGAACGGCAGCTCGCCCAAGGTAATAGAAGGGATTTTCCGCGGAAAGTGAACGTGTGTCACACTTAATGTGTGAACTCAGTATGGGGCAAATATAGGACCAGAAATGATTTACGTAGAGTTTTTTTTATACACGAAAGGAGCAGTGTTGGCCTAGTGGCTTCAGCGTGCGATTCTCATCCCTGATGTCGTAGGTTCGATCCCCGGCTGTGCACCAATGAACTTTCTTTCTATGTACTTTAACATTCGCTCAAACTGTGAAGGAAAACATCGTTAGGAAACTGGCTTGTGTGTCAAGCACAGGATAAAACTGATACAGAATAATTAGGTTGTAGCACCCTTATTTTATTTTTCGCTACACACAAGTAGACGTTCAGCCTCCTAAACTAGAATCACTTCAATTTATGAACCGAGCTCTTTTTCTTGCGATGTTATCCTTCTCTAGAGTGGGGCATACCAAAATGTGAAAACAGACTGATCAAACTGATCCAGTGTATATCTTGAAGTAATTTAGCTCTGAACAACAAAAACTAACACGAGTTCAAGTAAATGTTGTACACCTTGGGGTGAGCGCAATAAACATTATTACTTCGTTCTTACACAACGTTCGGTTGACCTCCTGAAATCGATTCTGCGTATATCTGTGTCTCTGTGTGTCTGTGTACTTAACACAACTTAAATCATCGGTACTGTTATGGCAGAGTCGGTTCAGCGCTGGTAGTACTTGGTAACGTCCAA